TGAAGACATAACTTTCTGTTGGTTAGCTCACATTGTTTGATAAAGAAATAGTCAAATGTCGTTTATGTTGCATGAGCTTTTTTAGCGGAGCTGATGCATTCTGAGGATTTCTGAAGGCTTTGGAGTTGCTAATTTGAATAGCCCGTATGGTTAATGAAAGCTCATGTTTGTGTCATCCATTGCGGCTAATTATAGCAAACGTGTGTGGCTGGGTTTTGAATTCAGCCTAAGAGCGTGCCCCCCTTACTACTCGCCCCCAGCTGTCATTGCAATCTGGTGTAGTTTGGGTTTGTATCCTTGTAAGACCGATGTTTTCATGTTACTTTTTGTTGGTTCGATTTTTGTGGCGTTAGAACCCTTCCTCAACACTGTAATGAAGATTTTGTGATTTGTGTTTCAGCAAAATACAAGCCAACATTTTTTCTCCATGATATCAGGTGTGTCTATAAAAAATAGACGTCCATCAATGCTTGAAAACGTTGCCGCTGAGGTGCTTATTTAGGCTATGAAAATAATATGTTGATTACGTGCGTTGCACATGCAAGCTTACTAGTTTCATAAAAGCACCTCTCTGAAAAATTAAAAAAGGGCAATTAATGTAGTACTAGCATATAAACATATTATGACAGGATATACAACGCAAAGCGAAAAAGCTAGGCTTTGTGATTTATACTACATGAGGTTTATGGATGATGTTTTGCTGGACCAGACAATTACAGCATATAAACATCAAAGAGATGGATCACCTACATGCAGTTCAAGATGCTTCAAAATTGGGCTTAATTCCAAAAGGCAAGCCAAACGAAGAATGCCACTTGTACGCGAATCACGCGCGAGGACATCCACGCTCAATATAAGATGCTTCAGGTTGACAAACTTGCCAGGGCATTCTGCACATCCAGGCACCTGCATGACATGAACGTACACAACCATGACAAAAGGAAACATGGGATGATCAGACCACGAAGAACAACGAATTGATTACCATGGATCCACACTAAAAAGGGAAAGGCACAATTTTAGAAGTAGTTGAAAGTAAACTACTAGTATAACTAACATGCAAGATATTATTTTTTTGTTAACGAATATGTAAAACAAGAGGATCACCTCGGCATCAATTGCAAGTTCGACGGAGAGCTTGGGCACATTCGCCATACCATGATCCGCAAAGGCGTAGTCGAAAAGGTCATCCCTCCATGTTGGGAACTTGATAGTCACCTCCTGTAGCTCTACACACCCATCAAGCATAAATGGCACTGGGTGGACCTCCAAGCTGTCATACATGAAGGTGTTAAGGTTCGGAGCTTGCACCTCATGCCTGTGCACATGGAAGCAGTAGTGCACACACATGTATCGCAACTGGCGCAACGGCTGGGAAGTAGTCAAGCTGCGGAGGGTGCAACGCACGATGCTAAGCCACTCAAGCATGGAGCACGACGGCAACAGCAGGCCCTGGATATCTCCAGACACCGAGTCGAGTTTGAGCTTTCTAAGGTTTGTGAAGCCACAAAAACCAGGTAGTGGGTTTAGGTAGGCAGACATGAGGCACAAAGACCTGACGGCAGGAGCGCCATCGATGAAAAGGTGGAGCGAGAAGCTGAACGAATTGTCGTGTTTGCCCCATGACCCTGGTTTGAAATCGAAGACAATGTGCTTCGCTCTCGATGCTGCACAAAAGGTGACCCATCTGTCAACATGGGCCTGCACATTTGTGTTGATGAGCTTGAACTCGAGCACGAACTTGTCCCTGGGAGTGGTGGGATCGAGCTGGCACAACACGCACTCGACGTTCCTGATGAAAGCTTCTCGATCATGTTCCTCTCGGCTCATGGTCGTGGTGGTGGCGCAGCACATTGTCTCCCTAGTGAAGACCAAGTCTCTGATGCATGATTTCCAGAGATGTCTCCACTGGCTCGACAGTAGGCTCATGCGCACAGCCTCCTTGAAGCTTAACAATGACATCATGTCACTTAGAGTATCCTGCATGCGACAACAATACAATTTGGTCATAAGTTTCTTTTTAATGTCTAGTTTTAGGAAATGTGTCGTGCAACAATTGGTTGGAATTATTAATATTTCAGAATACCTTAATACAATATGAAATTATAGATGTGTTACATGGAATTGCTATGATTCATGGACTTTAGTTATGCTTGCTGGAATGTACTCAAGGAAATTGTATCCTTAAGGAAGCTAACTAATAATGGGACAGGTCATATATGTTAACTGATGGGAGGACTTCCTAGGCACATTGATAATTGGATAATCAGAGGGACTGAGATCATATAATTAAATTACAAAACTATGTGAATCTACATGTTAGAAAATAAAATTCTATCATATCGCATTGCTCATGATGCGTGCTCCCACTCGGATTCGAACCCAGATGCTTGAGCACTGCTTCCTAAGAGAGTAAGAGCACTGCGTCTACCAATTTCAATGAACTTCACGAACAGTATTTGTTAATTTTGTCGTGATTGATAGTTTAGTCCAGAATCTATATTTTCACCGTTAAGTAAATCATCGCTCTGCTATCCCAAAAAATTGAGAATCAATAAATTCCTTTTCGAGAGTGATTCATCCTCTCCAAATGCAACATAGAATTAATGGGACGTACATGTCTCATCCCAAGACTCAAATATGCAACCACAAATAAGTGTGCAGTTGGTAGACTAGACTCATTATTTCCAACATAAGTTGAGCCATCGATCATGACTGGAAAAAGGTGAATCAGCCGACTAGTGGTACTATGTATCAACATGTACGCATGCTCACTCGCCGGAGGCAGATGGGTATAAGATTATTTCCTTTTTTTTCCTTTATATGTCTATAATAAGGTGAGGAGGGCGATGATCGAGTTAATTGAAACTTGATTGACCCCCTTACTAAAATCACAATAAATTACAAGAATATACTTGAAAGATGAGAGCAGAGTAGCGTGTGCTCACAAGAGGCAGATGGTGAAGCTGCAGAGCACCCTTGTGCCCCCTCCTCCTCCTCTTCTGAGCATCATCCTTCTTGGATGATGATACTGCCATGCCCAAACAATCTGCGGCGCCGGCGGTTGATTTCATCATCTTCCACTGGGGCTCTGGCGTCGAGGCGGAGGCCGGGCGGACGGCTAGGGTTTATATTCTTTTGTTTTTGCTTTGATTGATTGAAGTGCTTGCTGGGCGCTCGCTAGGTTGGCTGGGCGCTTGCTGAGGCCCTCTGCCGCTGGCGCGTCGCTGGCCTGTGGGTCCAAGTTGCGCTCCTCCTCTCCCGTCCCTCGCTCCCTCTCCATCCTACCGATCCTCTCCTCTATGTGGTCGTCATGAACTCTCGGGTGACGACGGCCGCCCCTCCACAAGCAGAACGGTACATAGTCAATCCCCGCTGCCTTGATGCTCGATCTGATGCTGGTGCTGCTTGCTCCGTGGGAGGTTTCACTTGCGCATGGTCCACCAGTGAGCTATATATATATATACATGCTCATACGCTTCCATTTGCTATGGTTTCCTGTTGATTCAGTTGTATGTTCGTAAAATTATGATGTGCTTCATTGAACACTTTATGCCACTAGTCAACTATGCTTCTAGCCTTTTTGATTCTCTTAAGGTAGAGTTATTCTTTCATTTTCAGATTGAATGCTCCCAGATGGCAGACTTGGCAAAGGAAATTGTGAGAACAAATGAATTTTCTGGTGGTGATTCCTGGCATTTTCCTTATAAACTCCCCAAGCTCTAGTGCCTTCTTTACGTTTTTCTATTTTCGTTTCTCCCTAATTAACCGAGAATGTTAGGTTTTTTGGGTCCGGTTTTCTTTATAAGCTGGATCATCTCTCTTCTTCTTAATGAAATGCAGGAACCCTGCCCTCGCATGAGGTTTGTAAAAAAAAATCCTGGCTTTTACTGTACAGTTTGTAACCATAGCCGCATAACACATGCAAATATCGTTATCAAATCTTTCCCTTGATACAAAAAACGAAAGAAGACAGGGACATGATATATCGAAATCATGCATGTTTACATAACCTTCACGTGACATCTATGGATTTCATCGGTGCACTTTTCAAGCATTATATCATACAGTTTCTGCTATATATCAAGTACTTTGGCTCCCCTGGACACCAGCCAGTCTTCCCAGTACAAACTATTGGCACCAAATGATCTGCCGCCGACGCGTAAACTTTTGCCACAAAAAATAGATAATCAACAAGATAGATGAAAGAGTACTATCACGAAGGGAATTGACCATGCATGATCTCATATAGAACATATGTACCAACTTAGTCACCCTTGCTTGCAATATATCGTGCTTAATCAACTAATCAGAATACATAAAAGGTATAGAAGTCTTAATCTCTGCAAAACTGCAACAATGAGAGCATATATATGATCGAGGCTAGAACTTTATCCCCACACATTGCGGTGACCCCCAGTGCTCGCTTTGCATCCCGGTAAACTGGACCTGCTTTCTGCACATCGTGCAATAGGTGGCTTGACATACCCAGCAGAAAATATACTTATCGTCACCCTGGATGCATGCGGACATTGGTTAGATGCAATAGAGGCAAACCAGTGTTCATTCATGCCATCTTACGGAGAGGGACTGAAAAAGATAGGGTTTCATTACCTTGTAAATCTTTTGACGGCATTTTGGGCATTTCACGGTGCTGCCTACCGGCTGGCTTTGAGCTCGCATGCGGTTTCCAGTTTCAAGTTGTTCCAAGCGCTTCCGCCAGTCCATCGTGTCCTTTTCTTTCTCCGCAAAGAGGTCACAGTCCCTACTGCAGTTTGTCACAAATCATACACACATAAAGATAAATAAGTTTGAGATCCCCTATTTTTTAATTTTAAAAAGACCCTGGATATCTCAGACGACTGGCCTACCTGAAATGGGCATAGCCAGCGATGATAGCCTTGCCACAAAGGAAACAGAATGCCTGACCACAACTGATGCACACCACCTTGTTGCAACCTTCGGTTTTGCTGATGGTCATTCTGCATTTCGGACATGACCTAGCATCGTTGTAAAAGCTCCTTGATGCTCATCAGTTCCTCCACCATCTCCCTTGCGCTCATCTTGCCTGCCGCCTGCAGACATAAAATGGAGGACAACAGGTGGGAGATATTCAATAACTTGAAATTTTATCCAGCGAAGAATTAGACGGATAGGGTAGTGATGCGACAAGGAGTTGCCAAAAGAATGTACACTCTCCAACGATCTATCATAGATATCAAATGAATGTACATTTGAATGAATCAACAAAGCAAAAGCTATTTTTGCGGGTATACGCAAGCAAGGACGATGAAAATGAGTATCAATTGCATAGTAAATAGCAATATAAGTTTTGGACATAAATAATCTAGTCTCAGTCTCGTTCCAATCCAACAACATAGTAATATGCGCAAAAGTAGCAGATTAACATGTAAAAATAATTTCATTGTAGTTGTCCTACAAAATACTTTTGCCTTTTGTGTCATATAGACCATGTTATATGTGGAAATCATAGTCAAAATTATGTACTAGAGACTGTAAAAGGTTAAAAAGGACTTATACTTTGGGAAAGAGAGAGTAGAATATTTTAGACGCAGTTCTACCTGTCGTTGCCGGATCTTTTCTTCCAGAGTTAGACATTGTTTCCCTGGATGGCGTGAATCCTTGCACAACGAGCAGAAGACAAAGAAACATTTTGGGCATTGCGCATTGTTGTCCTCATCTTCCAAGCAACCGATCGCACATCTTGGACACTGAACCACATCTGACATCGAGTCCAATGCTTTCTCAAGAGTAAGCCTATCCCAGCGTTCGAATTCTTCCTCGCTGAGAAGCCTCTTTAACAAATACGGTGGAATAGAAGCATTGCACTTGGTATCAGGGCATATCAACTGAAACAAAGTACCTTCCTTCACATGCATCTTGCATAAGGTCTCCATGCACTTGACACAAAACAAATGTTCGCATGGAAGCTTGATGAAATTTGAACCTAATTGTTTCAAAATAGAAGTTAGTCTACAGGGACGAAGAACTGCCATGAGTCCAATTCAATTTCCTAAAAAGCATAACTAAATGCCCAACCACAACCGGTAGTACTTATAATATCTACTATGAGGTACGGAAATTTCAGCCACATAAAGTGTGGAATGGATCCCATAGAATACTATCTCCGTCCTGGTTTAGAAGTCCTCTATGTATTTTGTGTCAACTTTTAACTAGAGATTTAACTAACAAAATATCAATGTATGTTACAAAAAATTATATCGTTGGATTCGTATTTGAACATAGTTTTCAATTATATTATTTTGTATGACATGCATTAACATATTGTCAATTAAATCAAGGTCAAAATTTGGCACAAAATACAAAAGGGACTAACAAACCAGGACAGGGGGTAGTAAGTGGCATTCTTCCAAGGAAGATCCAAGGCAAGTAAATAACAAAAGGGCGTGTTATTTTTGTATGATTTTCGTATGACTACACAAAAAAACAAATCAAAAAAGAATAAGGATTACCTTTAGTCTGGTTAAGGCAAATCATGCACATATGAAGATCCTCAAGAAAAACTTGATGGCACTTCCTACTACTATAACTGAACATGGAAGGGATTACAGACTTCAATGAGAGACTTCTCGAGATTGCGCGGTAATCTTCTTTGTGCGTAGGAACATCTGGACCTAATGTTATTGTGCGATCAAACCCGAGGTGCGGCAAAGAAGAACTACGTATCCACTCAACCCATTGGTATACCACTTCTTGCCCCGGCAGCTCTGCCCAAATGGTGTCAAGCATCTCACAGAGTCGAGAAACATTAGGCCCATCCATCCATTTAGCAGTGACTGTAAAATGTGGGGGATCTTTGCTAGGATATGACTGCGGAAACACACATGTCAATACCAAAGGGGGCAGGTGCTCAAAGCTGCAAGAGTACGAGAAGTCATCTGGTTCTTCATCATGTTGTTCTTTACTGTCATCAAGGCAGCACCCATCTTTTGAATGCTCATTGTCTGAAGAAAACTTGGCGCATACTTCAGCACCATCTTGCAAATCATAATGTATGTAAATCTGCAATTCAAGTTTTTTGTTGTTGTTGGAGAAATCATAATGTATGTAAATCTGGCAAATCATAATGTATGACCTAAATCATCAGCATCCAAAAAGAGGTGAAATGGCACGGAAGGCCAAGGAAGCAAACCTGGAAATAGCGGAGCCCTGCTTTGCTTTCAAATTCGACAAGGTCATCCCCATATATTGCCTCCAATGCCATCAGCTGCAGTGAGATGTCATAGTGAGGAGACAAACATATACATTCCTCCTAGCAACTGTCTAAAAGTTGAAGAGAAAATTCCCTCCGAACCGCTTAATGAGAACCCGGTTTCGTACAGACAACTGATGAACAACAACACGTACAACTATAGATGCAGAAACAAAATAACAAATACTCTCCTGCAAAAAGAAAAATTCGGGCCACACAGTCGGTGCCCAGTTAAGGGAGTAAATTGCAAAAAAAAAACATCACAATCATGCAAATGTCATCAAACACCCACCGAAATGTACTCTATGTTTTCTGGTGATTTCTTTCTGAAGCATTGAAAATTTCGACCTAATTGTGGTGGTTTTTTGCAATTTACTCGAGTTAAGGAGGCAATCAATACAATAGTCAACGGTTAAGAATAACGGTGCTACAAACAGAGGGACTAGATGGCGACCAGGAATTACTCTATCAGCACAAGCACAGATCATGATCATGAAAACAGCAGTACTCCTAGCGAATTCCAATTTATTCAGTATGTAGAATTGTAGATTAGTGCAGTCACCTCGTCCTCCTGTCGCTGCAGGTTGTCTCGTATCTCATCCTGCCCCGCCTCCTGCTCAGCGCGAAGGCCAACTCCCGCCGCCGTAGCCGAGGCGGCCTCCTCCAACCTCGACCCCGCCTCGGCCACCGCCGCCCACGGAGAGTCCAGGTCCAGCACGTCCTCGTCGCGGCCACCATCACGCGACAACGGCCTCGACGACTCGGCCAAGGATCCCGTACCGGGCTCGTGGTTTGATTCCAGCGTGCGCGACGACGACGAGGCGCCGGCGGACGTCGACGCTGTTGCCATGGGCGGGAGCACACGAGAGCTCGGTTGATGGCCGGGCACCTGGACTCGCCGGGACAACTCACGCGCACATATTTCCTGTACCAAACGATCACTCCTACTCCGATACGAACTCTGGCAAGTAACAAGACACGCACACGGACACAAGCAAAAGATTCTTTCCCAACCTACCACTACTGAACTGCAAAAAAATTCTACCACTACTGAAATCTGCAACTTGATATAGGTATGTTTGGCAAGGGAAATACTTCTGTTCAGCCCATCCGACGTTCGCCCGTCTTCCACTCGCCACGTGCCCTGGTTGAGCCGTCTGGAACATGCCCCTTGTTGCAGGACACACAACACGAACTATGTGCAAACCGATGAAGACAAAGCATGTAGCAACCCTACCCCTTAGATACGTTTGCAGCACGGGCCTTATTGTAAAATGTGCGAGCGCATAGGCTCTGTTGAGAAAACACTTTGATCTGAGCCAACGTCTCATGTTGCAAAACCCCGAGCCCAACATGACCCCAGATCCAACAACAACAAAGCCTTTAATCCCGAACAAGCTGGGGTATGCTAGAGTTGAAACTCATAAAATCTTCAACTCATGGTTCTGGTACATTAATAGCTAGCCTCCACTCATCCCTGTTCATGGCTATTTCTTTGATGATATTTTTATCGAAAAAAGTTTCCTCCCGCTTTATATATAAAGCAAAGATTAACATCACCCGCTACAAATGCACACCACCACCACACATACCCAAGGCGAGATACATAGGCGTTGAGCGTAACAACACCACCTCTATCACTACATCACGAAGAGATGAAGCCGCATACGACGAACCGTGAACTTCAAGGCGGCGTCTTCAGGAAGGATACGACACCGGAGCACCGTCACCGCCCGATCCGAGGATCAGAGTTTCTCCTGAAGCTGCACGACCGGCCGTGAGAGCCGCGACGACGCCTTCAAGAAGGGAACGAGCTTCGCCGCCGTCGGTCCGTCCGAAGACAGAACAAGTTTTCACCCCGACCAACACTCACCGCCACCGAATGCCACACCCCAGCTACCACGCCGCCCACACGGCCATGGCCACCAGGCGGCACCAAATCCACCGTCTCTGGCCAAGAGCACCGCGCTACCGCCACCAGGGCCGCCGCCCGGCATCCAAGACCTTGACATCACCTCACCTGAGACCCGTCGTTACCCCAACCAAAGAGACGTGAGGAAAGGTCCCACCTTTCGCACCCTTGGGCGACCCCCAGCGTCGAGACCCAATAGGCCGGCCAGCACTGGCATGCATCGACCCATCCTGCAACCCTGAGCGCGAGACGAGCTCAGTCCTACATCACCGAGAGGGGGACGAGGTCAGTCCTGCTGCAGCATGCGCGAGACGAGCTCAGTCCTGCTGCACCGGGGGCAAGACGTGCGATGGACCACAACTGGAAGAGGGCCAGCCCTTCGATGGAAGTAGCGCCCGGGCGACGAGGAGATGGGGTGAAGGCCAAAACGGTCCGAATGCAGACGAGAAGACGCCGGAGAAGTCAGCCGCTGTCGTAGGCAGATCCGCCGAGTCACCGTGAAGCTGCCACGATACCGGGAGGCCACCACCATGCGCCACACCTCCCCACGCCGCCGCCCACGGCCGGAGCAACGACCACGCCAGGCCGCTGCCCTACCCACGTCGCCCGGCGAGCTCCAAGCGCTGGAACCGCTGGGCACGCACCACCGAAGCCATGCGCCGCCGACCAACCCCCACTACCAGATCCGGCCGGATCCAGCAGGAGGCCTTCCGCGCGCCACCTCCCGAGACGGGAGCGCCGCAGCCACCCCGCCGCGCGCGGATCCAGGACGCCGGTGCGCCGCCATCAGCCGGCCACCTCGCCACCCCGTGAGCCCGCCGCTGAGCACCGCGGCCACCCAGCGCGCCACTCGAAGAAGCCGCCGACGGCCCACTAGCAGAGGGGGGAGAAGGGCCCCGCCGCCACCACGCCCACCGGGCTTTGCTCGACAGAGCTCGCCGGCAGCGACAGGGAGGAGGGGAGGGAGGTGGGGTCGGAGGGTAGGGGCGGCTAGGGTTCCCCCCACCCCCCACCCCCGGCGCACGTGGGCGCGTCGCGGGAGGGGGGATGGGGGGTCGCGAATCCGATTGTTGTCTGGAATTTCCCTCCCTTTGGTGATATTTCAGTCCTTACCAAACTTGACATGGGAAAATCCTGTAAAGAGAGATACAATATTTCTGTAAGTTTGGTATAACCGGCCTCTTTTGACATTATCAACACACTTTAGCCGTCTGCTATGCGCTGGAGTTTCCGTAGATCTGCATTGAATATTCCCAAACCATCTCAAACGATGTTGGAAAAAATTCTCTTCAATCAGTGTTAAGCCAACTCTCCCGTATATCATATTCCGGACCCGGCCCTTCCTTGCATAGCCGCACATCCATATCAACATGCGCATATCTCCGATACACCTAACTGTTGAACATGTCGTCTTTTAGACAGCTAATACTCATCGCCATACAACATTACGGAGCGAATCGGTGTCCTACAGAACACACCTTTTAGCTTCTATGTCACTCTGTTGTCATAGAGAATGCCAGAAGCTTGACGTCATTTCATCCATCCGGCTTTGATTCGATGACTCACATCTTCATCGATATAATCATCCTTCTGCAACATTTACCCCAAATATCGGAAGGTGCCCTTATGAGGTACTACCTTCCCATCAAAGATAACCTCCTTGTCCTCCTCGTGCCTAGTAGTTCTGAACCACACTTCATGTACTCGATTTTAGTTCTACTAAGTCTAAAACCTTTTGATTTCAAGGTTTTGTTGTATGAGGAATCGCAGAAAAATATTGAAAATAATTGTTCGGGGAATTGCAACAAGGCTCATGTTGCAAAGCGTTGAGCGCAGCACAATGCTTGTTGCAAAGGCTTAACAGCTCATGGGGAGGGATCAACTGCGGCTGCATAGAATAGCTGCCTGGGTGATTGATCTTTTAGGATTATCATCGGCCGACGCGTAGCTTCCGCTGTTTGGTAATGACATACTTTCAAAACTATGTCAATCGGCAAAGGACATGATGTAGAATATTTTTCTTATTGGGAAATGCTCTGCATTAATCGACGGATTTTCTCTCGGATATCTGTCGCCTTGAGGATGTAACATGTGTCATGGGCCCTTGCATGCCACTTTCCCCTCCTCTCCTTCCTTGGACGGATCTGTCATCTTCTCCCTCACTCTCACTTCTCTCTCCCCCAGGATGCCCAGGAACAGCCTCCCTCCAATCTTCGTCCCAAATCCTCCACGACCCAAGCTCCAGCCATGGCGCCACAACCTCAGATCCCCTCCTCTAGACCAGCACCCTCTATGTTGTGAGTTGCCGGAGACGACCTTTGCACAGAGCGCGCAGCCACCTACTGCTGCAAGACCAGGGCACCGGAGCGAAGCTGCGAGGGTGGGGCATTCTTGCCATGCACTATTGCAAGCCGAAAGTAATCCCGGAGGCAACACAATGGAGGAAAGAGGAGAGACGACAGACGCGGCTAGGGACGGGCTGCTGCTGAGAAAAGTTTCTTCAACAAAGACCGAGTTGCAAACGGCGTCGGCAACAACGAAGGTGATGTGACATCATCTTTCATTGCAAAAAAAAAAATCTACAACATCATCCCTATTGCAAAAGTACATCATCTATGCTGCGAAAAGGTTTAGACGAAAAAAATTCTACAACACAAT